CATATTAATGAGCATATCTCATGCTATCCTGCTCCGTCAACACACAACAGATTGTGCAGAAGTGTGTCTCTGTGGAGTTCCTGGAACAAAAATTCAGGTTAATAAAAGACTCAGACCTTCGGCTGAAGCCTGACCGCTGCATAATTAGCATGCAGTGTGCTGTATCTATGGCAACCGCAGAGACAAGCTAAATGAGATGTTACTGGCCCTGACAATATCAACATATTCTTTTCTATTAGTGCTCACATAAGCGATAGAACTGATATGGGTGAAAAGCTTTCAAAGGAAGCTTTGTTTTATATGGCCAATAACCTCAACTATATATCTCATATCCACTGTTTTTCCTATTTTCCAACGATATGCTTATTTTCCCACACACTTTTCAAACCTCCGGTCAAGGTGGGAGGACATCCTGATGGCAAAAGCAGGAGACAGACGGGTGTATGAGAAGGCCATAGGTGGACAGGACTCATTATAAAAACACCAGGGATGATGGACACCATCCTGAATGCTTCATATTAATGCTTGTAATATAGTCTGTATATAAATAGGATGTGCTAAAACGAACCTGAAACAGCGTCAGCTCGTGTGCATCGCTTCTGTGAAAATTTCTAAAATGGTCACTGTCAAAAAAATAAGTGGAAAGCTGGAAAAGTGTGTCTTTACATCATGTGCACATTCCTGCTGGATGATGATCAATGAACTAAATAATTTAACTAATAAAATATATATTAACATATACATTATATTATATAAAATGTAAAAAAAAAAAAAAAACATATTCCTGAAATGCTCCTTAAATTGCATGATATTTTACTGTTTCAGGCAAGACACCACATGTTAAAAGGGTAAAAAATAACTTTATCACAGATATATATCATAGATATCACCATACTTCCCCAGTTCGTTAAAACAATTGTTTTATATTATAAGTTGTCTGAAATGTTATGCAGATATTGTATTGTCAAAGAGGCATTGTCTAATTAAATATGTACTGATTTGCAAAAATTTCCAAAACAGAAATCTGAAGTCAGGTTCAAAATTTTTGTTTCATTTTATAGACATATTAGAGCTAAAGTTTCGTATAAAAGGGATTTTGAAGATTTCTTTCTATCACTCCATTAATTTAAAATGTTATTTTATTTTATTATATTTTATTAGTTGCATGCATGCATGCATAAATAAATAAATGTAAAAAAAACAAAAACTTGGGAATAAAATGTTACATAAATTATTAGAATGATAGACAATTTTTTTTAAAGAATTTTGGCCTTTAAAGATAAGTACTGCACTTGACATTTATAGATTAAACACACACACACACACACACACACACATAAATGGGTATTTGGGATGTTTTCGTTCCACTAGTCTGAAAGAAGACAAGTTATGGAAGCAAAATAACCCCTAAATCAAAATTAGATTCTAACTAGAACAAGAACTGGTGACTCAAATTAAACAGAATCAAAATTAAATGCGGCATAGTGATTATGTAAAAACTGTCAAGTTATCCTTTTAATTATTGAAGAAAAGAACTTATGCAGCAGATGGTCCGACTAATGTGCTCTTTGTGATCCGGCACAAATGAATGCAGACGTCTCTGGTTGAGTGAGATGAGACGCACCCAGGATTAATCAGTATGGCTTGAATTCTGGCTACTCATTTAAACAGAGAGCAGTTTGAGGACAGGAGACTTGGAGTAAAAAAAAAACAGTGGCTCTCCACCCACATATGACTCATTAATATCAGCCAAATCCATAAAGTATATAGCTGAAAACAATGAAGAGGCGTGCAGGAAGAGGATGGAGTGAAAGAAGCTATGTTTAACTCATCACAGAAAGCTTCAGATGTGATTTACCTTGCGGATTTACAACTGTGAGCATGATATTGCTTGAATATCGTCACTGGATATGAGTGGTAACATATGAGCTGAAGTGTGGAGTAGTCTGAGCACGTCAGCATTTTCAAGTCGTTTCAAAGTGTCTTTGAATTAAGTGGTGAAATTATTGCCAGAAGGAGATAGTTCAGCTAACATGTTGAATCCTGCTCTCCACACGAGCTTATTAAATAAGCTCAACCAGTGGGCAGATATTCACCTAATAATATGAGATTTTGCAGTGACTTATATAGACTACCTTATTTATGACCCTGGAACACAAAACCAGTCAACAGTCGCACGGGTATATTTGTAGCAATAGCCAACAATGTATAGGTCAAAATTATCGATTATTCCTTTATGCCAAAAATCATTAGGATATTAAGTAAAGATCATGTTCCATGAAGATATTTTGTAAATTTCTTACTGTAAATATATCAAAACTTAATTTTTGATTAGTAATATGCATTGCTAAGAACTTCATTTGGACAAGTTTAGGTGATTTTCTCAATACACTGAAAAAAAAAATGATTAATTGAATTTATTATTTTTTTAAGGTAAGTGTTTGCAATCAATTTATTTTAGCTACATTTAAATTTGTTTATTTAAATGTACATTTTTTTTGTAAATTCAATGAATCATTTTTTTTCAGTGTATTTTGATCCCAGATTTTCAAATAGGCCTAGTTGTATCTCGGCCAAATATTGTCCTATCCTAACAAACCATACATCAATAAAAGCTTATTTATTCAGCCTTCAGATGGTATAAATCTCAAAAAATGACCCTTATGACTGGTTTTGTGCATGGTCCAGGGTCACATTTTGCAACGTGCAAGTAAACTTTTGTGTGTGTGTGTGTGTGTGTGCGTGACTTCCGATTCATTTAGCTGCTAACTAAAAAAATAACAAGGAGCAGCAAACGGTATTTGCGCTACAAACCGGTGTGTTTATGATTATGATGACGGATTAAAGTTATATGATAAAAATACCAGCATACTGTTTTCGTACAGGTAAAATAACTGAAGGCAAACACCAGAACAACTTTCTTACGTTAAAAACAAGGTGGATACGTTTCAATAATAATGCTTTTCAGAAGATGCATACTTTTTTATTTAGGCTTATGGTTAGTTTGCAATTTGGCAGTTTAATTGCATATATATGTAGGCCTAATATAGCATTTACCTGAAGAAATGACTGTAGAGTTCTTGCAAGAGCTTATTTTTTAACTTCATAACAATAGTGTAGGAGATTTTTCATATATTTTAAATTTTTCTCACTACACTACTTTTTACCTAACCACATTTCATTAAATCGTTCTGTTCTTCGTTATTTAGAAGAGAAGAAACCGACGCGATAGCTATGTCTGATTCGTGAACGAATTGTTCTTTTGAACAGACTCATTTCAATGTGCCGAGTGAACCGGTTCACGAATCAAATAGACGATATTTGTGAATTCGACTCATCCGATTGATTTGATCATCCGTTCGAAGCGAGTCTCAAGTTAACTGTTCGCTGAGTTGGTATTGTCCGGAAATAATATTTTCCTCAAGATAAATTAATTCCTAACAATATTGAGCGTTAACCTATTTAAACGATTAAAAATAATAAAAGGTGGTTATTGATATCCAAACACTTTTAAAAATAAATAGCCCAGCTTTGTACTTACATAGCCTAACAGTATAGGAATCTAAAATAAATATATAGTTTTACTGGAGAAATATTTCATCAGGGTATCTGTACTTTAACTTCATCCAACTCTGCTTATGAGTCTCATTTTGTTTGTTTGTCAAAGAACTGCTCCTTTTAAAGTTTCTTAAGAGGTTCAAAGATGGTTCTAGACTCTGTTGTGCTACTGTAACACATCACAGCCTTCATTTTGCGCTCATAACTCCCCAGACAGTATCAGCACAGCTTTTGAAGTCAGCCAAAAGGCTGGGCTCCATTCCGAGCATACGCCTTCAAACCATTAGCCAACTTTCTCTAAACAGACATCATGAATATTCAAGTTACGTTTTAGGGCAAGAAGCTTCATATTGCACAGATCTGAGATGAACATACGGTTTCAGGCAGAAGGAAAGGGACGGAGGGGTAAAACAATTTGGGTCTAATGGATTTGGGATGTGCGTACATTCATCTAGTCAGGTGACAGAGCTGTGTGTCAGTGTCATGCTCTGAAAAGGTTGATCAAATTGAGGATGATGCATAGCCTACCCATTTAAATTCCACAGCAGCTGGCGCTTCGTTCCCACAGCCAGCCTCCTCTAAATCACAGGATTTGACCATCTGTGGAAGATGGCGGGAGAAGCACTGAACAGACGTTGGTTATTATAAGGGAATTCATGTAATCAGAGGGGAAACAGATCGCAGTCTGCGGTTAGCAGAAGCCTGTATACTGTACCCTCACTTTTTGGCATCAAAATACTATACAGTTACGTATACTCAAGGACAAAGTCACTGCTAGTATTATTGTGAATGATAGTGATTAAGAGAACCAAATTACAAATGAGTAATATATTTATTCATTTTTCAATTTTCATTTCAATTTTAGCAGCAACAATGCATTGTTCCCGTCAAATTTAAAAATGCCATTAATGAATATTTAAATATTGCCAATATTAAAATGAAAAGGCAAATGTTAAAATTAAATTGAACATTTAGGTTTTATTTTTCATAATTTAATTTAATTTTGCATAAACTACCTTTCAGTAACTGCTGGTCCATAAATAGGGTTTGGATGTAACATCATCCTATAAATAGTTAAAAATGGCACATAAGCTTTATATGTTTGGTTCATTTGCTTGTTTTAAAACCCAAACAGAAAACATTCAATATGACTGATCAAATTGCATTATGATCGGCATGTGTATTTACGTTTAAAACTTTTTTTTGCACATCCATAATCTATTGCGTCTTTCTTCTGTTTTTCGCGTGCTGGTATCTTATCAGAACCCAGAGCAGATTCCAGAGACTCCCATAAAGAGAAGCAAAATATGCCCTTATTATGAGATCTTCCTCCAGCTTAGTTCTTATCCCACAGACAGAAGGTTCAAGAAACACCGCAGTCCTTTATGCTTTATGATTTCAGAATAAATGCCAAAGGAAACAAAAACATTCAATACAACAGGCAGTTTTCAACTCCTTTAATGGTTCAGTTGGTATAGATTTTGGACGCATTTAAGTCAAGGGACGAGGTCGACGGCCATATGGCATAAAACAACCATTCAATTGAATTTTTAAACAATAAAAAAAGAAATTCACATTAAATAGTTTAACAGCTCAAGCGAGTACGAACGACATGCAGTGAAGTCAATGAATTAAACAAGAATCCAGAGTGACATTCAATGGATGCAAAGCTCAAAGGCCACAAACCCAACCTGAAATGAGTGCATGTAAGACATGATTGTATGCTTCTGATGTAAGAAAAAAACAATGCATAGACAAAATAAAGATTTACAGTTAAAAAGAAATGAGATGCATGTTCCTGTCAAAATGCAGCTGTCACATGGACAAGCAATCTTGATGACTGAAGACATTCAATCAAATACTACTTATTGCTTATATTAGCGAGAACTATAAAAGCCATTTTCAAAGGACTTACATCCACAGATTAAAAAGAGGTGTACATTGATGTTTAATGCAGCAAGGCTCTTGTGACCATTAGAGAGCTACTTGAACATACACCAGAGACCACAATGCAGGCATGCGTCATTTCAAAACACCAAGATACAATAATTATGTTAAGCAAGTTAACAAAACATGAATACACATTAAATACTGAACATGAAATAATGTTACCAAAAAGGTCAGAGGCCAAAACACAAAACTGATTTAATTGAACTCCTAATAGAAAAAAAGGTTTGGTTTTCATTAAGTTGTCGCAAGAACGTTAAACATCCTCTGAATTCACACAAGCTTATATTCATCCTCGACTTCAATTAGAATAACTAAAAACGTGTGTTTGACTAGCACCACTGAATCAGACGGTCAAATATATGCTGACACATACCCACATCCGAGTATGGCACGTCCTGTTACAACGCTTTAAGGCTGAGGCTTTCCATTTGATGTGTAAATTTGTCGTTATTTCGGTTCCTAAAATCATTTGTATTAAAACGTGGTTACAAATCAGAATCGAAGTTTAAAAGGGGTCTGTGTTTGTCTACATTTTAAGACATTGAAAAAATAAATAAGGACCTAAGACATTCATTAGATACCTTTAGAAATATTTTACATAAAAACACAGTTGGCACAACTCGTTCACTTTTCTACTTTTTTCTCACGTTCTGTACAAAAAAGGCGATGAAATTTCACATGAATCCAAACATCGAAAAAAGAGATCATGAAACATCAGGTCATTTGTGTACATCGTTCTGTGAGTGTGTGCTTGTGTACGGGCCTCATCCGTTTTGACAATTCGGTATCCTCCACAACAACATTAATGTTATTTTGATGAAATTACGACGCGAACGACTACTAAACAATCAAAAACCCTGAAAATAATGAAGTAAACAAACAAAAAATAGTCTACCTGCAGGATCCTGTGGACAATTAAAACAAGAAACTACATACACAGAAAAAGAAAATCGTCTGTAATAACATAACCCATAAGGCGACTTATATTCTTTCGTAGTTTGACCAGACAAATGATGCTCTTGGTCCATTAAGTCTCTCATGGGAACAAATATAAAACGCCATTTACGGAAGGATGATGCAAAAATGAAACTTAAAAACCCAAATCGAATTTTTACCCGCCAGGACTCTTTCAGACTCATTTGCTAGAAGTCATCAGGTAGTGTGGCCGCAGGGCCCGATAGTGTAACAGTTAGTGTGAGGAAGAAGAGGGGAATGGGGAAGAGAAGGGAAGTGGGGCAACTGGCATGCAGCAGAGCACCGCCCCGCCCCTCTCTCGTCTCAGGCTCCGCCCTCTCCATCAGTCAGCTGTGTTGTGTTGTGTTCAGCTGTAGTGACTCGACATGGCGAGAGGTCACTGTCTCCTGTCCTCGGTCTCTGATCTTGAAAAGGCCATCACCACATCCTCAGCTCCTGGGAAAAGGACAAAACAATATTTTAGATTGGCATCAGATATATTCACAGATTATATGCAATAAATAACTAAATGATTATTATTTTACACTTTTTTACAATTATATACGGAATTTTACATAAATATTTTATTACACATTTTTAAGTAACTGTATAAAGATATTTTCAGTATGAAATAAAGAAAATTATAAATAAATGAAATAATTCATTCTCTGAGAAGACTACTTATTTCAAGACTATTCGTACGGCACAAAATACTGCATGTAAGAAAATAAATGCAGCCATTCTCCAAGCTATTATCCTTAACAGCTTTATTAGGTCAGGAAAATGTCATCTTCACAACAGAGCAAATTACGTGAGCTCGTTCAGTGGCACCGAACGTTATTATAATGGCTGAAGAGCAAACAGGCTGTGTGGTGTGTAATTAAACTCAGACAATGCCTTACAAGTGTCTGCCTTACAAACACTCCAGATAGAAAAATTACAGTAACACTGGGGTAAATAAAAAAAATCATCATCATCTAGGGCTATGTTCTGATTCTGAATGGAGGCATAATGCATACTGTGCAGTATACACTGAATACTTCTTTTTTTTTTTTTTTTTTT